GAGAGAGAGAGACAGCGTGAGCAGGGGAGGGTCAGAGAGAGAGGGAGACACAGACTCTGAAACAGGTTCCAGGCTCTGAGCTGGCAGTCAGCACAGAGCCCGACGCGGGGCTCGAACCCACGAACCGCGAGATCATGACCTAAGCGAAAGTCGGACGCTTAACCGACTAAGCCACCCAGGCGCCCCAATAATGTATTTCTTTTAAACTTATTTTCCTCAGAAATCAGTAGAGAATAACTCAAACTGTTTGGGTAGGGTTTTTTTTAATGTTTATTTTATTTTTGAGAAAGAGAGAGAGACAGAACATGAGCAGGGGAGGAGCAGAGAGAGAAGGAGTCACAGAATCTGGAGCAGGCTCCAAGCTCTGAGCTGGTAGCACAGAGGCAGATGTGAGGCCCAAACTCACGAACTGTGTGATCATGACCTGAGCCAAAGTCAGATGCTTAACCAACTGAGCCACCCAGGCACACCTGTTTTGGTAGTTTTTAAAATGACACTCTTTGTAGTGGACATCTGCTATGTTTGTTTACCTAGCCAGCTCTCTTTCACACGGCTTCATTCATTTGTTGCCTACCCCTCCAACATTTCTATGGTTCTGATCAGGTTGCCAATGAAGTATCCTCACTCCTCCCAGCCATGGGGTGAGCTATCATCAGAATGAGCCAAAAATCTTACTATACTGTCCTAAACACAGCAATTAGTCCAAGCAGTGGGCACATCACCTTGGCTGAACTCAAGCTCCCAAAAATATTTTGAGAATTACAAATAGGGGGAGGGAGTTTCTTCTCTCTTGCTTAATTAATAAACTATGCTTAATCCCAGAACTGTCAGCAGCCTCTAGTGAATGAAAACCAAAGAGGGAAGACATAAAGGGGGTAAATAATTCTAGATAATATTTTACCCTCTGGATTCAGAAAATCGTGAGACTAGGTCTAGTCCTTACTTTTCCATGGTTAAGTCATCTAATAAATCCCTTCATGCCCTTCTTTTTTTGCTTAAACTGGCTCAAGTTTGTCAACTATAATCAAAAAGTCCTAATACATCTCCCATATGTATTTGGGCATCATAAAATACGTATAAAAACAATACATATTTTTTAAAAGTTTGTTTATTTTGAGAGGGAGAGAGCAAGCACATGAGCAGGGAAGGGGCAGAGACAGAGAGGAGAGAGAATCCCAAGGAGGCTGCACACTGTCAGCAGAGAGACTAACATGGGGCTCAATATCACAAACTATGAGATCATGACCTGGCCCAAAAATCAAGAGTCTTGACACTTAACTGAGCCACCCAGGCACCCCTGTATTTTTTAATAATATAATTTTCTCGACACTGCATTGCTCTTACAAATCTATATAAGGTTGCCTACATAAATCTAACTCTCCTTCCTCCTACAAATTTTTTCAGCTTTATTGGGGTGTAACTGATGAACAGAAATTGTATGTATTAAGTTACACAACTTGATGTTTTGATATACATATAACAGTGAATTATCACTGTAATCAAGCTGGTTAACATATCAATCACCTCACACAATTCCCACCTCCAAATTTAAATATATACCAATAAACTTTTAGAGAAACACAATGTACATGCATTCTTTTAAACTTTATATACATATATAAAGCAAAAAAAACCCATATAGTTAATATGTATAAAATTAGTATACTTTCAAGATTTAAAAATGCTAAATGTACAGAAAGGGTTCAGTCCTCCCAGTGGTCTGATGCCCCAGAATTAACAACTGTGAAAACTTTTAACAGCTATTGATTATAAGCTTTGTCAGTATTTCTTAATTACCAGTTTTAAATATTTCTTCTTGACTTCCTGCTGCAGGAGAATTTAACTCCTTACACAACCAATTCCACATTCCTACAGTTATTATTATTGTTTCCTCTATTTTTGACCTTTGTAACTTAACATTTATTTATGGTTTCATGTACTACTGACACTCTGTTTTGTAAAATAAGAATTAAAGGAAGGGTATTTTTCAGTGCCCTTATTCTTCACTTCAACTCACAATTTCCATCAAATATTCTTATACTGAAAGGTTAATAATTTCCTTCTGTTTTGCAACTACAATTACTTTTGTACTTTATCTAAAAGTTTAGGGGTGCCTGGGTGGCTCAGTCGGTTAAGTGTCTGACTTCAGCTCAGGTCACGATCTCACTGCTCGTGGGTTCGAGCCCCATATCAGGCTCTGTGCTGACAACTCAGAGCCTGCAACCTGCTTCAAATTCTGTATCCCTCTCTCTCTGCCCCTCTCCCACTCACACTCTATCTCTCAAAAAACAAAAAAAGTTTAAAATTTGTTTTTTAAGTTTAAAGTCAGTAAACTAAAGTTACATTAAGGAAACTATGTAAGTAATACTCAGTACATGATCTAAGTAGTTCGCTATGATTCTGTATTCTTCCCTATTCAGATTATTTTTAATTTTCCTGGAGTGTCTAATTCCCTTTGTACGTCCTTTGCCTTTTATCACTACCTTTTATCACTACCTTCTAAATTCTTAAGCTTATTCTCAAATCTTCATTTTTACTGAAGGTCTTACATCTATAAGACCTACTACTCACCAGTGATCCTACTTCCCTCTCTCTCAAGTAAAAGCCATTATTTTCTAGATCCATTGTCATTTTTCTGGAGCACATCCCCTAATAATGTCTTAAGAAAGCATATGTCAACAAGTCAATCTTCTACATCCTTACAAGCCTGGAAATGTTCTTTCTCACTCTCACACTTCACTGACAGTTTGGATGAATATAACATTCCCCACTGAAAATAATTTCTTCTCAAATCTTTCAAGACACCGATTCATTATATTCTAACTAACACTGTTAGTTAATGAAGACAAATAACCAATTTGATGTTTCTTCCTTTGCATGTGACCTAGTTTTTCCTCTCTACAAGGTGTTCAAATCTGTTTTTTTCATTGTTGGTATTCTGAAATCACAAAATGATGTATTTGGTGGAGAATCTTTTATATAAACTGAACACTTTTTGAGTTCTTTCAGTCTGGAAGTTCATGACTTTCAGTTTTGGGAAATTCTTCTAGTTTGTCTTTAAACTTTCCCTCCAATGTATCTTCTAGAAGTTCTTTTCCTGGAACTTCCAACTAGTTACAATAATAAACCTCCTACATAAAGTTCCATATCATTTTTTTTCCCTGACACATTCCTTCTCTTCGATTCTACTTTATATTCTGTATTATTTCTTCCAATATTACTTTCCAAATTTCCTACAGAACTTTACATTTTAACCATCATATTTTCTTAATTTCCAAAAACTCATTTTTGTTATCTCATCATTCTATTTGCACAGCATGAGAAGTTGATGACTTAACGTTACATCTATCATCTCAAGTCTCTCCGAAAATACACATTATAGATTTTATATTTCTCTTAATATTTTCATTTTTAACATTAACATTATTTCTTCCAAAATTTTTTCAGTTTTTCATTGTTATGTTTTTTCATGTTAAAGGCATTCCTCAACTGTCTGATGACTCCTGAATACTCATTAATTTTTAAGAATGAGGCTATAAGCAGATTAATTGGGAGCTCTATAAGCATGTCTCGACTTTGATGACTGATGAGTTTTTCTTTAGGGTAATTAAGTGACTAGCTAGCTGTCTCAAAGAGGAAACTTGAGCTGCCAGAATACAAAGGTCATTGCTCCAAAGTCATTTAATTTCTTTAAAGGAAAGAAAAACAGCAGCAACTCTTTCCCCACCCCAACTTGGCCCTACGGGCCTGGTGACTGGCCTGCATGGAAAATCTTCAATTAACTCTTTTATCTATGTTCTCCCAAAGTATCTCATTCCCAACTCTCTATTTCATTCCTTGAATATTCAAATTCTGCACCTCTCTAGGATTCTGGGAGTAGGTGGACAGGCCAAATTAGACCTCCTACATTATAAAGCAGAGTCTAATTCTGTTTTAACTGCTACCCACAGTTTTTAAAAATGTTTTACAAATAATCAAGTATACACATAGGTAAAAATATATAAAACAGCAAGAATTCCACTAAATGATACTTATACTACAAGACATTCTGATATTTTCTATTTAAATTATGTTGATAAATGATTTCACAACACATTGTGATGTGTGATCTGAGGCGCATGTACACATGCGCAAAACAAAAAGTACGTTGTGACTTGCTCTGTCATGTTTCAATGACCATTCACTCTTCTGTTTTCTCTCCCCAAGAAAAAAATTTTTTTAAATGTTTTATTTTTATTTCTAGGAGAGAGAGAGAGAGAGAGAGACAGCGTGAGCAGGGGAGGGTCAGAGAGAGAGGGAGTAACAGACTGAAACAGGCTCCAGGCTCTGAGCTGGCAGTCAGCGCAGAGCCCGACCGCGGGGCTCGAACCCATAAACCGCGAGATCATGACCTAAGCGAAAGTCGGATGCTTAACCGACTAAGCCACCCAGGCGCCCCCCCAAGAGAATTTTTGAAATCTTTCATTCACTGATGGCTCTTCTCTACTTTCTTTTCACTGTATTTCTCTCTTTTACATCTTTACTATAATTTTAGTAGGATCTAGAAGGACAAAAAGAATAAACACAAGTGCTCAATTTGTAATCTTTAACTTGAATTCCTCTACATGTATTTTTAAAAACCAGGTGCTTCCAAACCTCTGTCTGGCCTAATTTAAGGTCCCTCTGCTAAGTATGATGCCCGCAATTGCTATATTCTGAGAATTACCATTAGAATTAGGGAATTAAAAAGGAAACTGATGGTAGTGACCATAAGAATCTATGAAACAATTCCAAATAACTCTAAAACTAAAAGTAAAATTGTGGCTGAATGTAGAAAATTAAACCTAAATATTTAAGTGAAGAAATGGAATTTTTTTTTTTTTGTTATAGTCTAAGATTCTAGAAATTTCTTTTTGAGGGAAGACTTTAGGAAAGGCTCCTTCCACAGAGAAAATAACCAAAAACCAATTCCCAAATATGTCAAGAAAAAAATGTTTTCATAAGATGCAAAGAGTACTTACAAAGCAAGGCTACTCAAAACATACTGTACGTGCTCACATTCATCTGGGAATGATGCGCTGGCTGATGTAAAACAGCAAAGTGCAGTCTGAAGAACCTGAAGCTGTGGCAAGGGGACCTGCCATCTTCCAGCATAATCTTCAACCACCTGGTAGGGGGGCAACCAAAAAGTCATTATAAAAAATTTTCTCAACATCTCGAGTTTACAAATGTTGATACTACTACTAGATAAATTAAAGCATTAGTTCCGCATGAATACAAATGACTTAGGAACAAAAACATTACTATATTTTCATAGTGTATATCTGAAAATGAAATTAGCTATTATCTTTGAAAACGCGGAAAATACAGAATATGAATTATACTGTCCAACTGCCACATCTTTAACAAACTGTAACAAATATAACAAAGACCTTTGCCTCCCATATCTAACCTTTGTCAAAACATCAATTATCAAATATTAAAATAGCTACACAGTACAATATAGTAATAAAAATGAGAAATGAGCAAATTATTATTATTACTATTTATTAAAGACTAAACTGAAGGGCATGTTGGTGGCTCTGTCAGTTAAGTGTCCAACTCTTGATTCTGAATCAGAGTTGTGGGATCAAGCCATGTGTCAGGCTCCATGCTGAGTACTGAGCCTGTTTAAGATTCTCTCTCTCTGCCTCTGCCCCTCTGCCCTGCTAATGTTCTCTCTCTAAAATAAAAAAAATAATTAATTAAAATTAAGTTAAAAAAATAAAGACTACACTCTAAGCATTCTGGCACAATGAGTATTAAAAATATAGTGGCATGATGCTCTGATTATGAAAGTTTAAGCCATACAATATGATGGAGAAAAAGGTCCAGAATATAAGTACTCTTGGCTCTGTCACCTTACTAGCTTTGTGGATTTGGACAGGTCATTTCCTTCTCTATGCATTAGTTTCCTCACCATAAAACAGAGACAATAATGCTTATGTTGCATATGATAATAATTTATGAGAAAGCATTTTAGAACTATCAATTGCTATAAAATGTTAATTATGGTATCTCATATGCAAGACTGCCATACTAAAGCAATGTATTATATTTTTAAAATTCATCATATAAAAAGGGTTGATAAACTATGTATGGCCTGTAGGCCATATCTGACCTGCCACCTGTTTTTGTATAACTCAAAGCTAAGAATGGGATGTTACATTTTTAAATGGTTGAAAAAATATTTTGTGATTTCTAAAAATCCTATGAAATTCAAATTTCAATGTCCATAGAGCTTTACTGGAACATAACCAGGTTCATCCATTTACATACTATCTATGGCTGCTTTTCTGCGATAACAACCAGTTATGTAGGTCTGACAGAAATCATATGGCTCTCGCCTAAAATATTTAATTTCTGCCCCACTACAGAGAAAGTTTGCCAACTCCTGGTTTAAAAGCTGGAAAAGCTAGAACAGAGCACAAAAGCCAAGAACACTCAGAGCTCAAGAACTTTTCACACTCATCACTTCCTGTTGGGAGACAATTTTCCATGGGTGTTTTGTATTTCTAGTTTCGTTTTGTTTTTTTTAAAGGCTCAACTGGGGCGCGCGCCTGTGTGGCTCAGTCAGTTAAGCATCCAACTTCAGCTCAGGTCATGATCTCACGGTCCATGAGTTTGAGCCCCGCGTCAGGCTCTGTGCTGGCAGCTCAGAGCCTGGAGTCTGCTTCTGATTCTGTGTTTCCCTCTCTCTGCCCTTTCCCCGTTCATACTCTGTCTCTCTGTCTCTCTCAAAAACTAAATAAACATTAAAAAAATTTTTTTTTAATTATAAAAGGCTCAATTGTCTTCATCTTTTCAAAGATATCCATAGGCAACAGGCTTGAAAAATAGAGATGATGTCTCCTTCCAGAGCCTGTTTACTATTTAACACAATCATGATGTTCTCTCCCTCTGGAGCAAAAGCCAGGCAGACACATTTATAGACCATTATAAAAGATTGGGGTTCCCTAAGCCTGGGTTTCCTCAACCATGAAGAAAACCCACTGTGAGTGCAGGATCCACCTTTGCTACTTACCTTTATGAGACTTGAGGGGCAAAGGGAACTACCCTGAGCATGAAGCTCATGTGGTCTGCTGTGCTATGAATAATAAAGTTTGTTATCTCTGACCCACGAGTTTCATGTTTTCTGCCAGCATCTGTGAAACTGTGACATGCTAAACCTAGATAAAATTTTAGACCCTTCATGGTCCACTGACAATTCCAAATTGCTATACCAGAAAGTTAGCTGGTCAGTAAAAACTACTACTAACTATGATGACACCAAATAGGACACTTTTCTAAACTACCATGGGCCAAAAAAAAAGGTGGATAGATTGTAGCTCCTGCCTCTAAATTTTCTCTTCACTAGCATATTTGGCCAGCTTTATTAACTTTTTATGACCACCATTAACACCATTCTGGGATTTTTTTTTTAATTTTTTTAAATATTTATTTATTTTTGGGAGACAGAGCATGAGCAGGGGAGGGGCAGAGAGAGAGGGAGACACAGAATTGGAAGCAGGCTCCAGGCTCTGAGCTGTCTGCACAGAGCCTGATGGAGGGCTCAAACTCACAAGCCATGAGATCATGACCTGAGTTGAAGTCGGACACTCAACTGACTGAACCACCCAGGTACCTCGACCACCAAAACACCATTCTCATGCCACATAAAATATAGGTACCTGAGTGTCTCACATTTTCTTGTCCTCCATCCCAAACAGTTTGCCCTAATCCATATCTACTTATAACCTTATTCATTTCCTATTTATGGAGTAAGTTTATCTACTTAGAAGAAAAGATTTCTATGTTCTCAGCTTCTATTCTTATTAATAGCTTCCCTCATTTACCAAGATTCAGCTACCTAATATACTGCCTGATTGAGCTAAGCTAAAACCTAACACCATAAAAAAGACCCAATGTAACACATCAAACCTACTAGACATGTTGCCATAATACCTTTAAAGAGATATAAACAAAACAACTGAAATTTAAATATCTTCTTACACTGTTTAATATCATGTCAGATGTTGCTGATACACTATAACAGTAACATAACACTTTAAGACTTACTATAACACTATTTCTCTTTTAAATATTTTCCTTAAAATATGTGAAACTATACATTACATTGCCCCTCTATTTGAAATTTTTCTCCTGTGCTATGATAAGCACTCAGCTAAAGAGAGGGGAGATGCCATGACATCATAATCCGACTGTGTTCAATCGGGTCAAAATGCAGCAAGCAACACATCTTCCATTTTTCTTTTTCTTTTGCATTCTAGTAAGTAACAGTCTTAACATAACGGCCAGAATACTGTTGCAGTTGCTCAAAGAAAGGAAAAATATTTACCTGAATCCTTAAAATCAACTATTGCTACAGTTCTAAATTCTTCAAGAAAATGGTCTAAGGAACAGGATTAAGATCAATAGTCCATTAGGGATTGGTAAAAAAAAACGCACACACAAAATAAAAACCTTTTGTTGTTTCATTTTGAAGAACATAACAAACTTACTGCAATGCAATGTACTATAATTTATAGAAACTGTATGAACACTGCTGAAAGAAGTTAGAGCAAAGGCCAAAAGCATGCCGTGATACAAGGGGAGTTGAAGAAAAGGGAAGGGCTACTGCCACAGATGCTAACAGTGCAATGATCCTACAGCACTTTGTCAGCACTCCCATTTATGGGAGCAAATACCCTGATCTAAAAGGGATATAGCATATATTATAATTAATTAATAATATAATAATAATTAATTAACCAAGGCAAATTATTGTGAGAATGAGCACAGATTAATTCTCTGGCAAAACTGTCAAAACACAGACTTATTTTAAACCTATTAAGTTAAAATTATATTAATTATTTAAGAACATTTAAGATACATCATCCAAATTGCTACAGACTGAAATGTGTTCCCCTAAAATTCATATGGAGTCTATGCAATGAATAAATTGGCTAATTTTATAAATACCTAAACATTATAATAGACATTAAGTTAGTCTTTTCTCCAACCCCCTCAATATGATTATGTTGTTCATATTATAAACACCTACTCTATATATAAATATCTCCTAGCTCACTCTGCCGAGACTGCATCAGAGAGGTAGCACGCTAGGAACAACATATACACTTAAAGCACAAATCCTGGTTTCTAAACACTACTCTCCAATAAAAGAAACCTGAACTCCTCGAGGCCTCCTCCAGCACGCCTGCAGCAGGGAAAACACAAGATGAGACTAGAACATTTTGTGGTGCCAGAAAGTAATGAAATGCTGAAAACATGATGGGATATAAGAACACAGGAGCCAACCTGAAGGAGGTTGGCTAAAGCTGGAACAATTTAAGCAACAAAATAAATGATAGTATTGACTTTAATCCATGAAACAAGATAAATATCCAGGAGTCCACAATTATACAAATAATCAAATAAATAAATATTAGAGATGGAACAGATTTTACTTCCTCACCGTAAAATCCCAATGACTGAACACAGAAGAAAAGAGAGATCTAGAGAATCAGCATTAGGCAAATACACAGTAATGAATGCTACAGACAAGATCCATGGATCGATGCTAAAAATTGAATAAAAGTTTAGGGAGATGCAGGATTTGCAGTCTCAAATTCTCTCCCCCAAGACTTTACCAACTAAAATAGACAGTAACTTAAGAGTACAGAAATCCCACAGACACATACATAACCAAATCATCAAAGTAAATATCACCAGGAAGTAATACAACATACCATTATCATAAATCTCTTAATACAGCACATCAAGAAAGACACGATGGTATTTTTGTAGTATTTTGGCAAAAATCCCTAACCTCATTCCAGTCATGAAGAATCACCAGACAAACCCAAACTGAGGGATGCTTTACAAAAAAAAAAAAAAAAAAAACTAATCAGTACTCTTCAAACGTGTTAAGGTCACGAAGACAAGGGAAGGCTGAAGAACTGTTATTCACTGGAAGAGACGAAGGTAAATAACAACTAAATACAATGTGAGATCCAGAAATAACATCCTGGAACAGAAAAAACATTAATGGAAATATTGGCAAATTTCTAATAAGGTCTGTAATTTAGTGATTATTACACTAGTGTTGCTTTCCCGTTGATAATTGTACCAAGTTTTCAATAAGTA